ATCTTTATTTTAATATTTGAATTTATAGTATGATAAAATAATAATTTTTTAAATGGGTAGGGGTATTTTCAAAATGTAAAAAAATAAATCAAAGTAAAATTGAAAAAAAAAAACTTTTTACTACTAATTTTAAAATTGTCTCAAAATCCCCAATACAGGTAAAGTTCGACATCTGGGCATTTCACTGTGTATTAAATCACTTCCTGTGTATAGGGATTAGGAGACAGATGGCCACAGGTTGACTGCTAGCCCCCAAGGCATTCACACCTGTACAAAATAAGCCCCTCCCTCACCTGGAATTTACCACCCGGTAAAAAATCTCTGCCTTTAAGGATTCACAATGAACGCGTATATATAAAAGTTCATAGGTGACCTATATTAGACTTGCACTTGCATGCAAATGTCTTTACTTGGACTTGGTACTCGTATAAATATATTTATAATACACGTAGATATCAATTTCCGAGAACGTTTGACAATTCTCGACTGTTAAAAAAAATAGTGCGATACAATTTGAACCTGAGATGTTAAAGGAATGATTATTGGAGGGGGTCCTTCTCATTATAGTTTACACAGGCAAACGATTTTCTTGCAATTCAGTGACAGCATCTCTGTCTGTGTCTGACAAAACACAATTTTTCTTCCATTTCTTTATTCAAAGTCGCAGTAGAAAAAACCGAATCTGAATCGCTATCGGTACTCAAATTTACATATCATAGGCGTCGGAACCGGGAGTGGGGGGGTTAGGATCTTTTTTCTGCAAAGATAGCCATAATATATAGACAATGAACACTGGAGCGTAGGTTTAGAAAGAAATTGTACTGAGAGAAGTTCGATATTACCCCCCCCTCCCCCTCCTCCCCACAAAATAGGATTTTCATGAAGGACGAAGAACAATTCTTTTTTCGCTTTTCAAGTTTTTGGTACCTTGAATATTTTTTTCTCCTTTACTTTGCTTTGCTTTGCCCCCTTCCACTTTCAATTTGCTTTCGACGCCAATGCATATACTTCTATTGTATGTCCCACTTCGCTACCCGGCCTAACATGTAATTCCCAGTCATTCTACGATAAATGGACAAATTCAAGATATAAATCATAATTCTCTTAAAGACATAGCATTGAACTTGAAAAAAAATTGTCCACAACTCTTGCATTGATTACTTTTAAAAAACAATTTTGATATTCCATTGTTTTTAGGTAATCTTACGGAATGAATTCTTTATCCTTTATCAAGTCCAATTATTTTTTTTAATAAAGCTAAATATGACCAATTCGTTTGTTTCTGATGTCTAGTATAGACACAAATGTATGATTTATGAAGCCTCACATATCCAAAATTAAGTTAAAATTTCGGTAAAAATATCGTAACGAAGTTAAGGATACGGAAGTTAAGGTTACGGAAGTTAATTCTCCAACTTTTATAATAAAAGTTAAAATTCTCTGCAATAGTTCAAATCAAACCTTTTTCTATAGGATATAAAACAAAAATATGAAAAATTTCGCTCTCCAAAGAATAAAAACAAAGTTATACATGTATCTGTCATGCAAAATCCTTCCTGAATTACCATTTTGGAAGTAAATGTTTTTCTCCAATTCAATTTGTAATATCTAAAAAGGCATTGTCTTAAAAATAAATAGCTGACTCGCAACTAGAATTAATGATATAAGATTTTTTGGTCAATATCAGTTCATTTTGAAATCTGCAAATAATCTGTCCGTGAAATTTAGAGCAAACTAATTACTGAAGTTTATTGATTTTTAGCGATAATGCTATGAATACTTATGAAAGAAGATCCATACATTTTTTTTTCGAGAAATGGGTTGATTTCATTTTATTCAAGATTAAAAAAAAAAAACTTATTTAACATTCATCGCAATCACAGGCGCTTGACGTTTTTAACCCTTCTCTTTATAAATAAAAAATTTCCCTACTATAATTTATTATTATAGTAGGGAACTTTTTTTATTTATAAAGAGAAAGGTTAAAAACGTCAAGCGCCTGTGATCGCAATCTGTTAGAAACGATCTTACGGCTGAGAAGCCCGTCTTGAAATTTGTAAATAAATGAAGCGACATTAAGATTTGCAGTGGAATACGTTTTCAACATTAGGCCTACATGATGTTCATATCTAAACTTTAACTACAGATATCTAGATAAATGTTGGGAAAAAAATCATGCGTGCATGCTATATCTTAAAACTGAAATCAGTCCTAAAATTTATAGTTAAGATATTAAAATGGCAAATTTGTACACATGTAAGTGACATGAAAAAAAAAAAATTGTCCATGCTTGTTTTTGTAGAATGACTGTTCCGTGTTATGTCTCTCCCTGTGTATATAACAACCATGGTAACAGAATTCAAACGAAATTAAGTTTCCCGATTTATAAAAATTAAATATCACAGTGTTTATTCATTATTTTATTTTCATGTTCCTATACATCAATTTTATATTTGATAAAGATAAGGGTAAGAAAATATTGCGTCAGTTAAATGCAGTTTGTGCGTTCGGAAAAATATATCTTTCATCGAAATTTTAACACCTAATATGTTCCGTCGTTGTGACAGCTTTTCTTTTCAAAGTACATTTAAAATACTATAGACTAAGGACTCGAAAAAAGATTTATAAGCTTGTATGTTTTTTTTTTACTTTTAATGACAAATCCGACGAGTAAGAAAATGGTCTCTACAATACCTAACTATACTTGATTAATTATTCCTACTACATGTAGGAATGACACAAAATTCGACAGGGATTTCTGAAAACAGTGGGTGCACGAAATCGAGGCGTTGGGTCAAGAACTATTACTATATAAATATTCTAAAGCTAAGGGAAATTCCCTTTATTACATGTTTATGGCTCAAAACTTCTCGTATATTAACTCTTCTTTATCAATAATTCCTTTAAAAAAATAAATCTGTTCCATATATTAAAAGAATCGATTTATTTTACATCGAGCTTATGAACGATTTCATTGTGTACATGTAAAACGTTAGATGACGTCCTAGTGCATTTATTCGTTTTACTCGAAAAAGTTCCAATATTCAACAGCAAATATTTCTGTTACGGATGCTCGTACCTTTCAATGTCCAATAGAGAAAATGTAGGGAAAATTCCCAGCTTTTAGGTTATGGCAATCATTTTTTTTTTATCGTGTGCTGTAATTGAGATACAGCCTACAGAAGATAGCACAAAATCACTCATTTATGCGCAATTTTACTAACTTCCTGCAATCATATTCAATGTTCAATTCACGTTTACGATAATTTCTTAACATCGCATAGAAAAACTAATAATAGAAAAATTGTTGTATTTCTTCTCTAGTTTCAGAAAATATCAATTGTTTTGTTGTATCCCAATTATTTACAAAACGCCAACAGTTAAATCACCGTGATGCTGAAAATGCGTCAAAAGGCGCACTTGGCCGTTAAGGGGTTAAAAGAGATTGCTGATATTCTTGTTTCAGCAAATTGTTTGTCAAAACTTACTTCTTTTTCACGTTTAACCCATCGCCTGGCATAATCTTCAACAGAATCCATTATATTTGTGAAATTATAATGCCAGTTAAAAGACCGGGGTTCCCAGAAAGAAGATTAATAATTTCATTGTGTTCATTACACAGAACTAATACATTTAGTTCTGTTATATTTGAAGCATGTAATGTAAAGTTTGATAATCCTATATTTCTCCGCTTTCCAACATTGTTAAATCATCTACCTTTCCCTCCCATAGGCGTCGGAAGCAAATTGAAAGTGTGTGTGTGTGGGGGGGGGTTAATATTGAAAGTGGGGGGAGGGCTACACCAACAAAAAAATTATAAACCCCAATTTTCGAATTCAGTTCCTATATTAGGTATATATTTTTTTTAAAGTGGGAGGGGGGGTTGAGCCCACCCTCAACCCCCCCCCCCCGGTTTCGACGACTATGCCTCCATAATTATATCCATAACGCTACAGCTAATAAGAGGACCAAAAGAAATATAAGAATTTCTAATTGCAAAAGTTGGAAGTAACATGTAAGGTCACAGGGAAGGTAACGGTAAAAAAAATAATAATACTGACACAGATAAAGAGTGATTAGCATTTTATTTCCATGAACTAGTATTCATTTTGCATTTATTTAATAAAGATATATGCTATAACACCCTATGGCCCGACCGGCCCACCCTTCTTAAAGTGCTCCCTAGAACACCCCCCCCCCCCCCCCCCGATTGCGAATTGGTACATGTATTACCAATAAAAAAGATTTAAAATATATTGCCGTATTTGACTGAAGTGCAACAATTGGGGGTGCCGGGAGGGAGGCTTTAGGTTTATGTTTTCATGTTTTCATTGGTAAGAAAAATGTTTGAAAAGTGAGGGCTATAACACTTGAAATACTTTATTATTTTATAAAAATATCAATCTCGGGAGTTTTTCATTTCTAAAATATAGAGCAAGGACACAGTTAGGTCTAACTCTTTAGAACTACATGTTTAATTGTAAAATCCTCTTCGCACGCCTTTCTACTGTGTTTGCCTTTGGTATCAGTTGTATGTCTCTGGTGCATTGTTACCCGCCACGTGTACCCAAGTATAGGTTAATTATACCTTTCAAGTTTTTAAGATTGATTCTATTATTGGTTTTATTTACCTGCATTGCAGGCTTCAAAATTTTTTGATTTAATTCTGACTAACGTCAGGTGAGCGAATGTGTTATATTCTGATCAAAATTTGTCCGTCGTCTATGAATAATAAAGCAGCGAAATGGCTTTCTGTTCAATAACAACATTATATAAAAGATAGTGACAGAAAATAAAACTGTTAACTATTTCTGTAATAGGGATACAAAGGACCTATTTTTATTATTTTTACAATTTAATACGTAAAAGACTTATTGTTGTTTATTTCTTTCATAACTATTTTCAAAATTAGGGCAAGACAAAAATAAAATAATTATTTCTTTTCGTCATACTTCATGGGTTATCGAACTTAGAGTATGAGGTAGTCAATAACATCGGGATCGATATCCAACAATTGCAAAGTGAAAATAAACATGATTGGAAAATCGGGAGTGTTATCTTTGAAGCATCAGTTTACATGGTTTGTAAGGTTTTGCTTTAACTTGCTATCGTAAAATTATTTTTGTTCTTATTTTTAAAGGGTTTTCTACTAATTCAATAGCGAGGCAGTCTGGGAAAAGGGGCATCTTATCCACAAGGGTGCATTTGTATATGTGAAGTAGAGAACAAAGTGGATAAGATGCCCCTGTGGTCTGGTATCTGGATATAAGTTTCAGAATACTTTCCCTTTTTTTCCAGATTTTACTGCTAGTCATGTATGCTTAATAGTGATTAAAAATGTCCTCAAATAATGTCTGTACAAAGTGTAAAATAATGTATTTAACTTGTTAATCCATTCTCTTTTACCTGAAAATTTATTGATCTTTCTTCCCACGCTTTTAGGAGTTTGTTAAAGAGGACACTGTCTTCCACGCGGCGGTCTGTTCTGGAGGGGTACGATAAAACCCAGGTGGGACTAATGAAGGAAGAGTGTATCCTTACAGACAGGAATGACAACGTCGCGGGAAAAGCCTCCAAAAAAACATGCCATTTAATGGAGAACATAAACAAAGGTGAAAAAGAGGTGTTTTACTTATGTCGTTATAATCATTTTAAAAAGTACATAATGTTTGAAGTATCAGTATGATCTGCTTTTTCTTAAGGTTTGGACAAATTTTCCATATCATAGGATGAATCATTTTCTGAATTATGCTTTTAAAGAACTACTGTATACAGGGTAATTTTTGACCCATGATATTTTAGCCCATTTTTCCATACCAACAATTTTGCCCCGGCCATTATTAAATTCACCCATTCACAGTTATGTTTAAGACATTGTACTATGTTATTTGAATTTGCCCCATTTTAAATTCATTCAGTTGTGATTAGGGTGAAAGGGGCGAAATTTTCCCTGTATACAGTAATGCCCCCTTGATAAAATAAGTGTTTAACAAATATTTTATCCATTTTATCTATTTTTAATAGGTCCTTGATTTGATTTTTATAATTTTTATGGTATATTAGAGCATTTTTTATTGAAGGCTATATGTCAGAAGAGCAAAGGGAGGTAAGGCTGTTTAAGCTTTAGGTGTGATGTTGATATTTTTTTGTTTTTACTAGGTATGCTACATCGGGCTTTTAGTGTATTTCTCTTCAACACACAGGGTAATCTCCTCTTACAACAGCGATCTGATGCCAAAATTACATTTCCAGGTAACCACATTTTCTGAGAAAATTACTGTATACAGGGAAATTTTTGCCCCGTTTTATTTTCACCCCTTTTGCCCTACTCACAGGTGGACGTATCTAAAACGGGGCGAATTCAAAAAATACAGTATAATTTCTTTAACAGAACTGTGATTGGTCGAATTTAAAACAGGGCAGAATTATATGCAAGTGTGAAAGGGGGAAATTAACCCTGTATACAGTTACTGTATTTGAAATTCAAAAATCAAGACAATATGACCTGTATTTGTTCACACAAACATTTTTCATAACCCGTGTTTTAAATACACAACTTATGAATCATTTTGGATTTATATTCTAACTGCCCCCATTAAATATTGAATTTAAAATGAGTAATTAGTTCTTTTTTTAATTGCTCCAGGAATAATTGTGTGTAGGTAACAATTTCAGGTCATTTTACAAATACCTGCTGTAGTCACCCTCTTTACACACCTTTGGAACTAGAAGACTGTGAGGCATCGGGAGTTAAAAGAGCAGCTCAGAGAAAACTCCAACATGAGCTGGGGATCAGTCCAAATTCAGTGAGTACTTAAAGTTAACAGATACATTACTGAGAGTTATTTCCCTTTACATAGCCAAAATCAGGTCCAATGGCATAAAATACTGTAGATCACTTAATTTTCGCAATATAGTCATTAACTCTTTATCAGTGAGACAAAATTTTCACTCTGTATAGCTCAAAGGAATACTTATATATGCGAGCATTAAATTTTTGCGAGCACACTGCCTTGCCTAATAACCCGAAAATAAAGTTCATGCGAATAAAATGTGATGTACAGTATTTGAAGATAATGCACAATATTTAAGCTCAAAAGTCAATGAACAAATATATATCATTAAAACATTTACAAATCTTTATAAGGTATTTATAAATAAATCTAGTTTTTGTTTTCTTTGTAACATAGCTCTCAACAGAAGACCTCAAGTTTGTGACCCGGGTCCATTACCAGGCAGAGAACGCCCCGGACCCGGGGGTGTGGGGTGAACACGAGATAGACTACATACTCATAGCCCAGAAAGACGTGACCGTTACTGCCAATCCTAACGAGGTCAAAAGTCACATGTATGTAGACAGGCAGCAATTACTGCAGATGATGGGTAAGATACACTCAACCAACCCCCCCAACCCCCCCACGGAATCAGTCCTCAAATTGTTGTAAAGTAAAGGATAATATTTACTTATAAAATATTAGCCTGAGGAAAAAAAGTACAGTCGGACTTCAGTATATTGAATACCATGGATATGTCAAACTACATGTAATTTGGACGGCATAACTGCTTAATATCTAAAATATTTAACCCTTGATATCTTGAACCCTTGAATATCCCAAAGTTTTTTTTTGGTTTCATTGAGATTGTGATAATGAGGTTTGACTGTATGGTTACAAAATGTATTTTTTTTTAATTTAATATATGAAAAGCTGATGAGCAGTGGAATTTTTTATATATAACCTCAAATACATCATATGATTTTTAATTTCTTTTTTTTATTTCAGATAAATCTATGACAGGTGATATTTTAATTACCCCATGGTTTAGATTGATTTTGGACAAATTTCTAATGAGCTGGTGGGATAATTTATCTGACATTGAACAACATAAAGACAATCTTATACATAGATTGTGTGATAAATGAGAATAAAATGTCAATGCCAAATATTCTTCCTTCATTGATCGTTATAAAAATGTGCAATAAAAAATTCTGTGTCACAGTGTGCATTTATATATTGTGGGTTTTTCTTTTTGCTTGAAATTTTAATTTTTGTTATCTTTGATTAAAATGGTCGCAAATATAGTTACTGAGGCAGGTATAGAAATATTCTGAGAAATATATATATATGAGTATATAAAATTTTGTCTAAAAACTAAAGGTATTCTTTGTATTGAAAATGAGGTCTATTTTATCGAATACTTTAATCTGTGTAATGATATTTAAAAAGCTGTCAAATACTAAAATCTCTCTTTTTGGGGGAAATACTAAAATACTAAAAAATGAATCAAGCCATCATGGATCAAATATTCTAAATCCTTTGAAAAAGTAAGTTTTTCTAGCTTTTAAAAGTAGAAACGTTTTTGTGAAGTCGCATTCTATTAATAAAAATACATGTCAAGTCCATATATCTTGAGTTCTTGACCCATGTCGTTTACTAGTACATGTATAAAGGTATCACTTAGAGGTTGGGGCTTCCTTCCTCTTTGTTGTCATATGTAGTACCGGGTATATATTCTTAATTTCTTGAAAGCAAAAAATTTAATTCTTAAGTGTCTATTCTCATCTTAGTTCATTGTTACCTGCACAGCAGGCTTCCAAATTGCAGAATAAAGAGCTGACTTATCGTCAGGTGAGCGAATGTGTTATATTCTGATCAAAATTTGTCTGTCGTCTGTAACACGAGCGCGATTGTAACGGAATCTTACTGCAAAAATGTTTATAAAATTATTAGTTGTTAATTTTTATATTTTATTATTTTTATTTAAATTTTAAGGGAAATCTTTCGTTTTTTAATTTTGAAAATAGAAAGGAACAATTAAATAAATTGTTTAAATAGAAATAAAAAAGGACGATTAATATTTAACTAATTAATCTAAATACATGCAAATAACTTTTAAAGGGCATAATTATTGAGTTGTCGAACGTAGCCCTATTGCTGACTGAAGGTGGACTTGAACTCGTTCTATGATCAATTAAAAGCACAGTATGTCTTCTCTTTGTTTCCTTTTATTCAGTGGGTTTTTATGTTTATATTGGCTTCTAAAACCAAGGAACCTTGTAGCATTTTTTATTACGTGTTTATATGTCAAAATGGGAAACGGCTAGGTACTCCATACAAAATTGCTCATGAACAAAATTGGATGAGAGAAAAAAATATCAACTAATTAAAAAAAAAGTCTGGAAGACGTCAGGTATTTCGGACTATTCTTGGGGAGCATAGGACCGTAAGTTCGTAACGATATACAGCGCCATATGACCCAGGTGCATGTATAATCTGCCTCTTTTGCTTCCATTTTTACGGACCTTTCAGCCACATGGCATCGTTTTGGAAAGTGGGGGGGCAGCCAGAGAAAATTTTTTTATTTTACTTACTTGAAAAAGTTGACAAGCATCTTTCTGTTCATCACTAATTTGTTGCGACTTCGTTTTTCAACATTTTTTTTCCTGGGAGGAAATGGTTTTTATACCCTATATTGGAAATGAAGTAATAAGCTCAATTCCATATTTATGAATGTAAGGACATTATGATTTAGGATGATACATACAAAAAGATGGTGGCCTAGATTTGTTGACATTTTTGGACACATTTCAGTTGTAAATGATGCATCTAATATTTGTTTTTTGAAATATTAAGAAATTGTAAACTCCACCTTTCTGCAACATCCATATAAATCTATGAAACTTTTTATCTTTTTTAATACGATAATTGCAGGCGCGGATCCAGGAATTGAAGTTAGAGGGGGGCGCCAAAAGTTGATGGGGGCCGCCTTTAGGCCCCCAAAAGCCCTGGTGGGGGCCCATTGGGTTCTGGAGATTTTGTAGGGTAAAAATGAGGTCTACCAACTACACATATTTACATTTTCTAGACGAAACTGTGATTTACGTTAACTTTGACAATTTTAGGGGGGGGGGGCGCGTGCCGGGTGCGCCCCCCCCTTAAATCCGCCACTGAATTGTAAAAATTTGATAGAAAATTTATAAAATCTAACAACTTATTGTAATCTGGCTACGCTGTATATACATGTATGTCAGTTGTAGTTTTAAAAACATTTCAATTTCCTTCCAACTTAAACTTATTCATTTTACTTATATACACATGACTTTAGTTGTTACATTAAAGAATTTTGATGAAAGTTTGTTTGCATCATCTTTCTTTGACCAGAAAAGTACATTGTAAACCACAGGCACCTGACTTTACTTATATCTTGTAATAAAAAAATATACCCCCTACGTAATAATAAAGGGTAGGGGATATTTTTTTATTAAAAGAAAAATAAGTAATCTCAAGTGTCTGTGACATAAACAACCTCAAGGATTTTTTTTTCTGAGTTTACTGGTAAGGCCCGAGAAAATGCGATTGAGTTCATATTGACCCTAGGGAAGGGAGATAAATCTTACTGGGGTCAATCACTGTCATTCCTTTGTCATAATTCTTTCAAAAGTCTCGTTCAACCAGACGTCCTCCGTAAACTCCGACCAGCAGTGGTGGTCAGATTTACGATGTGCTGTCAAGGTGTGCTATCTTTGTAAGTATTTACTTGTAAATTATATTTTGCTGAATCATATAAAATATAATTGAAAATACCCGAAATATACCTGTTGTTATTCTTTCCTTAATGTACAATAGACCGTTTCACGTTATTGTGAAACATTATACTACTCTTCTGCAGGGCAAAATGACATATTTTGGTAAAATATGTGAAATTGATTGTTGTTAAATAATATTATGTCATTTATTTCTCTTCCAAGAAAGCCTCTGTCAAACGTTATCAATTAATTTGTACTGCAAAAGAGCAGTACCACATTTAACGTGAAAGAGCTAATATCGTTAACTTTGATATAGAAAAAAATAACACAAAACGGTCTTAGAAAAAAGATTTTCTTTATTATGTATTGCCCAGAAAAAACTTTCTATGCAGTACACTTGGCTCTGGACAGTGGTAGTACACATTTATTTACATATTAGCATTTCATCATGCAAACCCGAGGGAAATAATGTTAGCACATTTCCCATCTATCATCTCAAATACACATACATACATACAAAACATGCATACAGACACTCTGAATGAATTCTATTCTTTTCTTAAAAAAAAAAAAATTTCACATTCACAGCAGTCATTTTTGTTTGTAAGCAGAGTAATATCAGATCCAATGGTTAAGAGTACAATAGCTGCATCTTTTCATCTGGAATACATGTATCAAATGGTTCAAGATTCATATTTTTAAATGCATTAATATTTGAATTTAATGTTTTTAAAATTTTCTGGAAAAGCAATTTTGTTTGTGTATCAAAAAGTTCAAGATCCATATTTTAAATGCATTATAATTCAGAACTGAGAATGCCTTTTAAATTTTCTGAAAAAGCAATTTCGTTTCTGTATCAAATTATCAAGATCTTTTTTTGAAATGTGTAAATGCATTAACATTTAGAATTGAGAGTCTTTTAAGTTCTCTGAAAAAGTAATTTTGTTTGTATATCGAATTGTTCAAGATCCATTTTTCCAATGCATAAATGCATTAACATTTAAAATTGAGAATTTCTTGTTAAGTTTTCTGAAAATGTAAATTGTTTTGTTCCAGGCTAATTACAAGATCAAGACTGATATGAATGTTTCATCTGATTAATTTCCTTAATGAATCTTAATTACAACTTTTTATATCTTGATATCAGACTTTAAATGTGAATTAAAACTTTAATGAATCCAAATATGAATTATTGTGTGAAAATAATGAAGCTCTTTGTTTAACTAACCTTAAAATTTCTTATTCCGATTAAGACTTGCCTTGAATATTTCAACCAAATAATGTATAAAACAAAATAAATCTTAACCTTCTTTAAATAAACATTCAGGAATACAAAGGGAGATAATTCTTTTATATGTTCTGTTAACTGCATCTTTTTGATACTGTATTATGGTATATATTACATGTTTGTTTCTGCTATCTCTTTACTGCACGATTACAACATAAAAATACAATATAAAGTAAAATAAATTAAAAAATAAAATCACAAAAGCACATGGAATGTAAAATAAACAAAATTTAAAACTGATAAATAAACATGAGAAAGGAAACACTTTTTTTGTTTTCAAACAACACTGTTAATGTTGCCATAGTAACAGTTTCTTTATTGTAACTATGGTAACAATTCAAACCAGCAGAATAAATACTTTATAAAATAATTTGGAAGGACAACTAAATATATTATAAATTCACCATCTTAAATTGAAATGGAAATGATTGTCATAGAATTCAGTCAAAGAGAACAGAAATTTAGAATCGAATTTCACACTTTCTTAAAAAACCTTAACACATTGGTGTGATTTTTTTTCTGACCCAAAATTACAAGTAAATGTCATTGAAAATCTAGTATTCTATAACTAATAGCTACTCCTTTTGTCTGAGGTAGGTCTTGGGAAAATTAGATTTGTTAAAATTGTTGTATATTGTCATATAGCATTGTAAAATAATTTTTGGACTATGGAGCTAACCCTTAAAATAGAAGAGGGGTACTGAGGAAAAATTGGAGCCAATTGTTAGTGAAGGAAAAACTGATCTGAAAGAATTTACATGTGACTTTCTTGTCAGAACTTTAAAAAAAATTTCAGTCAATGAAATTATACAACCATAGCAGTACAACAGTTGAAACCGTAGCCAATCAACCATTCCATAAATTTAAGAAATACAATTTCAAATGCATCCATATATGCTTGAGAACTTACAATAACCAATGAAATGCCAGCATTTAAAACTGTGAAGGATAAACAAACCAATCAAAATGCAGAAATATAACTGTTCCTCTCATACAACAACAAAGAAAAAAAATACTTTAAAATGCTTTAGGTAAAAACCAATGGATTTAACAATGACGAAAAAAATAATGTAATAACTTAACATTTACACAAGATATGCAATCAAAATAAATCCAATTCTCTCCCTTAAAAAGGTTGGAAAAAGTCACTATCTTTTTCATATCTCCTTATGAAAGGGCAGGTGGAAATTTTTTTTTTCCACAAACAGCGTTATATCCACGTTCCACAAATAATCCACACTACAAGGAAACCATCACAATTCACGGATTTAACTTATCCACGGGCAACGGACGCCTATCTGTACAGCACCTGGAAGGACCAGCCTTACTTGCTCTTGGGTCGGTCTTATATGTTTAGGGTCTTATTTATCCGAGGGTTTTATAAAGATGAAAATGGATTTTTCGTTCTCGACACAGAGTTGAAAATGGATTATCCCTGGCTGGTGGTTGGATTTCTCTCTAAACAGACAATAAATCTCTTGGGCTCTGCAGTAGGGACTGTTCCATTTTCTTTGTTGTAGTGGATTTTTCAAGTTTTTTTTTAACTCGGGTTTCTAGAATGAAACATCCATTTCCAAATTTCACCTCTGGTAGTCTTCTAAAGGTTTTACAAGTTCTTCTAAGGAAATAAAATCACAAGCATTAATATGTCAAACAAATTAGAATTTTAACAGAGATTTTAGCAAGAAACTATAATTACTTTTATATCTATTTATATTAAATACACACTAAGTGAAATAAAGGGAATCTACCTACCATTATAAACCTTCAGAATAGCTTCACATACAAATTTGTACTGTGTCTGTAAAATGAGAAAAAATAACAACTAAATTAAAAATGTATGTAAACAATTTCAAAAGGAAAAATAAATTCACTAAATTTCATAATTTTTCATGATTATAGGGTCACTTAAAATTTTTTCAGCTTAAGCAATGAGCAAGAAGAAATAAAAATTATCTATCCAATTTTTTTTCAACTTTACCAATGAGCAAAGATCATTTTATAAATAAGAAATTTTTTGCTATTTTTACCGCTGTCTGTATGAGCATGGCTCGCTGATCTCTCATTTGGCGTACTATTGACAGTGGGTATACAGGTTGGTTTGCCTCGATTAGACACATCGCCGTCTCCATGGTGATTAATACTCCCGTTCTTCCAATACCCGCACTGAAAAATTTTGTACAAAATAATATATATCTGTATCCATATCTCATAAACATGTGTCGAGCATTAGAAAAATATCCATATTTAAAAATTGGTACAAAATTTGTCCATGAGAAAGATATCCGTATTGAAAATTGGTACAAAATTCTCTATATGAAAAATATCCTCTTTCACAGCCATAAATTCAGTAACATCATTTCTATTATCATGATTACTGTAAAATCATATATTTTTGTGAGGTCAAATTTTGAGTTTTGAGAAATAAATTTTGGTTTGTAGGGATCTGATTTTGAGGTTGGAAAAGTGTTGAGAAATCATGCACATGAAATTTTAAATTTCAAGGTGGTCATAAATTCGAGTGTCTCTTCGTACCTTGAAAACAATGAAAATTAACACCCCATGAAAATTAGTGATTTCACATTATTTATTTAAATGGTTTTAAATTAACAAAAACATCAGAGAAGTACAATCTTGGCTATATTTGTATACCTACCAACACGTCCCCATATGAGTGAAAAAATTCTGAAAGGGACATTAAACAATAAACAATCGATCAATCAATATACGTACCTACAATGGACTACCGTGGGCTCTACCATACCCATCCTCCGCTGACGGACTCGCAGGACAAATTCTAGGAAATCGGCTGGGTCGTCCGGGACGTTATGGTCGGGCCACGCTATATACTGCATGTGTGATATGTGACGTTCTTCATTTGTCTAAATATAGAAGATTTAATCAATTACAAACTGCATGTGTGATATGTGATGTTCTTCATTTGTCTGAATATAGAAGATTTCATCAATTATATTATAACTATTATAGGGAAATAAATTGTATAGATTGAAAAGCTTTATTAAATCGAAGAGTGGGACCAATATTGAAAAGCAAATGAAAGAACATATTTCTTAAAGGAAACTACATGCACACTTTCTGCATGGGCATATCTACCATATTTTGACGGACACTCAAAAGTTTGTAAAATGCTCTTTCCTCTTGAAAGTCTTAAATATACAGCAAAAAATGGTGATCTTTTGGTAAATCAAATTTCCATTTTCATTCAAAATTTCCACCAAAATAAAGCCCCAACCAAAAAACTAAGTTCGACAAATTCTGTGTTTTAGTAGAAAAAAAAAATCACATGGATGTTTCTTATATTATTACTATCTATATATACTGACCTCGACATGTGTTAAATTAAATTCCCTAAATGCGAATGATGGTGTTTCTTCTTCCTTGACACAAGTGATTTGTAACAACCCATAGTCCATCGTTTCATACATTTCTGGCCAGTATTGGTGACACTTCACACGACCTTTCTCCACTTTTGTCGTTAACATCACAACTAAAGACGAGTGCTGTTCCCACACCATTTGCCAGAAATCCGTACAGGTTTTAGGTAGCGGCCCCTGGGCAGCGATATATCGGTTTACGATGCCACTTCCAGGAATTTCCATCTTTAAAAAACAGAGGCAAAACACAAGGTGAAATAACCTCATAAAAAATTAAATTTGAAAAAAAATGTTCATTTTTACTTTTTTTTTTTCAAATAGCCAGATTCATCGCATCATGAAACATTTTTCTGTACATATACAGTTAATTCTCGATAAACCGCCACCTTTTGTAATTTAGAAATCATGGCGGTATAACGAATTTGGCGATGAATTGAATTTCTCATCTTTAGGTAACAAGAAGTAGAGTTACTGCTCTAAGAAATACCATTTAGCGTTTCCATTCTTATTATCACATGTACATGTATATATAAACATATTTCTATGTCTGAAAATACTTCAAGTAATTTTTTTAATGTACAATTTTGCTAAAACAAAATATTCAGTTATGAAATTAAGACAAGTACATGTGTATGCATGTAAATCTGCACGTTTGATATTGAAAAAAAAATGCTGGGTCGATATATTGCCTATAGTACGCAAAATAAGTTCTTGAATAAATTCATTGTTTATGAAATCATTGTTAATGAAACGTTCACAATTTCTCACTTGTTATCATTTTTTAAGCAAACTTTGCATTGTTTTTAAAAGCAGAGATCATCAAAATATTTATCGTTGTCGGCGTACTTTGCAACGACCGCTTTCGTGGCGAAGTGTTGAATTATAAATGGTTTTATTAAACAGAAAACAAAATTATTCTAACAGTTCATGTTAAAATTATTGTTTATTTAATTTACTTAATTGCACCTTGACTGGCTTTGCATGCTTTACAACAGGGATAGCGTCAACCAATTAGCCGCGCTTCACTGACCACATGCACCTGTGGCGGTATTATCGAGATAATTGACAGTTAAAAATGGACGTTTGTTGTGAAAACAGGGTGGCGGATGGCGGTATGCGAATTTGGTGTTATAAAGAGAATTTTATATAGCAGGAAAAACGTTCTTGGGAAATCATGGCGGTAATGCGAAAATGGCGATGAATCGAATGGCGATAATTCGAGAATTGACTGTATTTGCATTGACCTATGCATACATTACATATCATAAATCTTTTACTGTATATTTGAAGTGGTTGACCTACAATCATATATGTATATAAAATATTTTACTGTATATTTGTAGTGATTGACCTACAATCTCATATAGAAATGTTTAACTGTATGTTAGTGGTGACCTACATTCACATATATACATGTTTAACTGTACATTAGTGGTGACCTACATTCACACATATAAATGTTTAACTGTATTTTAGTGGTGACCTACATTACATACATAAACTTTTTACTGTATATTAGTAGTGACCTACATTGACATAGTTGGCGTTAATGTAGTCCCCTCCTGATACATTCTGTTCCTTCAGTATCACCCTTGTCTGGTCATCTGTAAAAAGTCACATTAATTAAATTACTGTACATCAGTTTTTATTTGCCAGAATTTTATTCATGTCATTAAGCAAGACAGTGTTCTCGTGAAAATATTGTCTCTGCATATAATAATATTCCTTAAGAAAACACAATATGTGAAAATTTTGTCTCGCTTATAAAGAGCAAATGCGTAAATCTCGCAGAACTAATGTGTAGCAAGAGTTTAGTGATCTACAATAGTGTACAAATAAATATATCTTTTCTGGCAATTCCAGCATTTTGAAGAATCAATTTTTAACTAAAAATATAATAACAAAACAGGGGCAAAAATTTCCCTGTATACAGTCACTGCATTAAACTGGTAATAGTAAAAGGGCCTTACAAGGTGAGATATCCCTGTAGCGATTCTTGGCAATGTTGACGTCCAGTCGAGCTGCATTCATTGTCATACCAGGTTTCTTCCTGTACAGTTGCTGCAGATACAAATATTATAGATAAGTACAGAGTCTAGAAAGAATCAACAGTCATTTTTTTGGCCACATGAACAAATGTGCAGAGATGCTGAACTAAGATATACCTGCTATGTTTGAGATGAATTTTCCATAAAGTGTAACAAAATTTATTTATTAAGAGCAATTTTCAGCCATATTTATTTATAAATGTCTCACAAAGTTTTATCCTTCTTGCTCTTCTCTGTATTTTGCAGTAAAAGTATGCAGTAGAAACAATTATCATTAAAAGATTTACCCTATTCCTTCATTCTGTACCTTGAGCTGAGCAAGTCCCCATTGTCAAAACTAAATTTACTGTAGAAGTTTGTTTAACTGAGCCAGTGCCCCTTTCTACACAAGGTTTATGCATATTCATTCTTTTTTTCTCCATTCCTCAATTTGAGCCAGTGCTGCCCCACTGTCTACACCAGATTTACCCTACCCATCCCTTCACATAAGGTATATTTTTTGTACCTCAAACTGTCCTATCCAGTGCCTAAACTAGATTTACCTAATCCATCCTTTCATATAATTTATATTATTTGTACCTAAAACTGTGCCAGTGCTGCCCCATTCTCTACACTAGATTTACCCTATCCCTCCCTTCACATAGAATATATTTTGGTGTATTTTTTCGTACCTCAAACTGCGCCAGTGCCGCCCCACTATCCAGACTCTCCTGTAATAACATCAGGGACGCCTCCAGTGCGTTGGTTCCAGTTCCCGCCCCTGGTGCGATGATCTGGTAGTTCTCTGGTAAATATTCCAAATTTGGTTCCTCTTGTGCCTCCTCACCAACATAAACTATAACAAGAGACAAGCAGATGAAAAAGGTGAATATACTAGTAACTAACACTGATCAATCTCAAAAAAAACTGGGAAAGGGCATAAAACACAGACCCCGGCACAGGGGCCATAGAAATTTCTATCAAAAAAAAAATAAAAATAAAAACTTCTTTTAGGCACCTAATCCCATCTCCAGGCTCAAGGGCCATAAAACTTAGACGAGCTCACTTTTGATCTCAGGCTTACTTTTCCACCATTTATTCCTTTGGTAAAAGGTGAGACTGAGATCAAAAGTGAGATTGTCTAAGTTATATGGCCCTGGGGCCTGGAGATGGGATTAGGTGCCTAACAGAAGTAAGCATCTCTTGTTGATACTGGATAATACTCTTATATGTTAGGGTTCAAATTAAGGTTTCAGAAATCTTACCATTGGGCCTAACAATGAGCACTAGTTCTCCTGAATGAGTTTCTCGTGAAGCACGGATAAACATCACAACCTGTAATTAAAAAAATGCCAAGTTAACCAAAAAAAAATCTTTTTGAAAACAAAATTTTATGACCTGTTACTTCAACCTGTAAGAACATGATTAATTAAAACATATTTTAATGACTCAGAAAAAATATCATTGTTAGCAATTTGCAGCAATTTAACATATTTTTTTGTATTTGTAGTCTACTGAGATTTTTTTTCCACGTGCAAGTAAACTAACAAATTACATTAATCTGGAGTCAATTTTTTGTAGTTTTATGAAAAATATCAATTAATGGGAATCTGATTTCATGGAGAAAGGACAGACTTTATACTGTTGTATAGAATTTACACATTTCAACAAAAGGAACATAAATTTTTTGATGTCTTCTTTCATATCATGAAATCAACATATATTAAACCTCCATGAAAATCACTGATTTCACAGTATTGTTTTAAAAAAATCTTTTTTTCAGTCCTCCTAAATGTTTAACCAAAATATAATTTATGAATCACCTTATGCTCTTCGAGTTTCCATACCTGTTCATGGGTATGCTGGGACACATCACGTCCGTTTATAAATAGCACTTGGTCTCCCTCGTTCAGGCGTGGGATGGCCAGGTCAGCTGGGGTCCCTGGGGCCACCCTGGATACAATGATGGGCATGCCCTGGTCAGCTCCTCCCTGAAAAACATACAACACAATATATCAGATGTGTACTGTATGACGCATAATTCTCTTGATACTGTAAAATCATATTTTAGTGGGTTACAATTTTCATGATTTGAGGAAAAAATATGGGTTCGTGGGGATTTGATTTCATGGTTGAAGAAATATTCAATTACTAGTAATATATGTGAAAAATTGCATTTCTTGTCTGACATAAATTCGTTGGTCTCTTCATATCTTGAAAACCATGAAAATTAAACCCCCATGAAAATTGATTTCACAGTATCTTACTTTGTTTTTTTATAAGTAAGAAAAAAAATCAAAAATGCTTGATACATGTATTTAAGAATTAAAGTTTTTGTTTTCGTAAAATCTGCAGGATAACTTCTGAGTTTTAAAAATTGTTGTTTGAAATACAAGCCATGAGACTTAAAATTTACTTCAACATATCCATGGTACTCAATGTATCAGTGTTTTAGATAAAAAAGTTTCAATTGAGTTATTTATAGATATACTGACCTTGACATTGAATCCAAATCTTCCCTGGTCGTCTGGCCTCATCCTGATGGTAACCAGACCATGTCCATCAGAGTGACTATTGCCGTTAGGCTAAAAATAGTAACACAAAAAGTGACTATTGCCATTAGGCTAAAAATAGTAACATAGAAAGAGTGAATATTGCTGTTAGGCTAAAAATAGTAACACAGAAAGAGTGAATATTGCCGTTAGGCTAAAAATAGTAACACAGAAAGAGTGAATATTGTCGTTAGGCTAAAAATAATAACACAGAAAACAAATTAGTTCATGGATACCCACGTTTTCATACTCAGCTATGGGCAACAAACTAACACTCAGTCTGATATTTCAGTCAAAGTCAGTCTTGGGTCAATCTTGTGAATATTGTTTTGTGTCTATTAAAGCCTCATTTTTATTAACTGCATGAACTCCTACCCCAACGAGCAAGCAATTTTATACCAGTCTTGAAAATATATTAATAATGGTTGACAACATTGAATGACAATTAAGATACCATCTTATGACATTGAGAAAAAGATGTCTAGAATTATACTTATTTAGTACAATGTCTGATTGACTAATCAAGAGATAAACCATATTTTTGCATGTCCATATACATGTATTAATTCAGCGCTAAAAAAAACCCATCAAATATCAATATTGAATCATCAGATTTCTTTTCAATTCCAACAAAAATTCAACATCATTCCAACATTGAGGTGTGTACAGCATTGTTTCAACACTGACACTTAAAATCAAAATACCTGTTGTTGGTCAAGTATACAACAAAAACATCTGGGTAATCCATTTAGTCACTTATCATGGACTAATTAATGAAAACCAATCAGCACATATGACACAGATTCTGGACAGAACTGTCTGGTATTAATAACTTTCTCTATGAGAACAGATGTCATATTTTCTCAGCATGGTGTCTTCAGCTTACACTATAGATATTACAACCTGCTAGAGATACAGAAAGAAGCCAACAGCACAAATCTAATAACAGAAAATAAAATGCAGAAAGAATATTACAATGGGTGACATGATAATCTCCAAATTAAGTGATGCTGACAGGTTTCTCTCTCTCTCTCTCTCTCTCTCTCTCTCTCTCTGTACATGTTCCAGTAGTGCTATCATCAAGAATTGCAGAAATATGAATTTGAAGATAAATACCTATATTTATCTATGTTAATAAAATAACAACATGAAGCAGCACCTCTCAAATGCACAACTTTTTTTTAAATCCTTTAGATCCATCATTGAACAGAATGTTCTTCATCTCTTTTTTTTTTTTTCCATTTCTGAATCAACAAATAAAATGAAATTTCAAACTGTAGTACTTTATCAAACTCCTTACTGATATGACTGAGTGAGTGAATGATTAAGTAAACAAGGCACATGCAGACAGACAGACAGACAGTCAAATTTTAACTTATAGATGTCCTAGCTTTGTGAGAAATGTGTACATGTTTTCCAAAGTCTTCCCCAATACAGAATCATGCAAGAATCAGAAATACAACACACACTACCTGAGTAGAACAAGAACTGACATTACCTGATTTGAGGGTAAGTCCAGCTCATTAAAAGCAGTAAACAAAATATCTTCATAATTAATCACTGTACTGGTATCTGCCAGCTTGGAATCCGATTTTGCTTCATTGAGTTGATGGACTCCCTCATCCACCGTAACCTCTGATTTGACATTTTCTGATTTGACATTTTCCGATTTGACATTTTCTTCGATCATCTTTCAATAAAACTCCAAGTGTATTTTTTTAAGTTCTCTTATTCCAACAGAGGTCATTTTAGCAAAAAATCAAAAGAGAAATTAAAGCATTCTTCACATGGTGAATATAAGTGGCATTAAAAAAAGATGCTCCAACACAAAATGCAGATATTAAGTGAACTTTGCTAATTATCTAATTAGCACACCATCTCATCAAAGTGAATGTTAAGAGTATAATTCCATTAGAAATTGACTTTTAAAGTTTATAGATACGAGCTGATGTTTTTCCTATTTCAACACAAATAGTCCATGTTTGGAATCAAAATGAGTTTCCAAGAACGATCTAACAACTGTCTTTTTCTAGGGATTTCTTAGAAATTTGACAGATGGACGGCTGTGTCACTCATTTCGATCCCTTATTAAAGATAACTGCATAATTCCTTGATATTAACAGCTGTTTTTTTTAAAAGGTGAGCACAGTCCTTCAACAGATATGGGATGGTAATCAAGATTTACCAAGAATAATCGTTTTTTTTTTTGAAACACAATAGCTCTCTCTGGAAAACTTAAAGTTTAAACAGTTTTCGTTATTCCTCTTTAACTGTGTTGGATTTCAGTATATCCATAATGGAAAAAAAAAATATCCATGTTAAACATTGTACACACAGAATGTAAAAACAATCACAAGACAAACTTAGGAATTCCTGTTATAAGAGAAAATCCAGTCTGATGTTCCTAGATGTTAGCATGTCAATCCAAAACAACAACATTTCTAACCAGACTTATAAAACAGAAAATGACACATACTAATATCCTTCTCCAAAGAAGATCATACTCTTTTAGGGAAACCAGAAAAAACCTTCTAATAAGTTAATCCAATCAATGTAACATGTGATGCGATTATCCTCCACTAATTAATGTCACAGATCACAGTCGGGGAAGAAGAAGAACGAGATGCAGATTTCTCAAGCCCACGCAAATCCGCAGACAACCTTATTTTTCTCTCTCTGTGTTCACTCTTTCACCGTGATAAACATGTCTTCCCCCCATAGTCCTCCTAACATGCATTCCCTGACAAATCCTATCAATTCTTCCCCCCAAGTCTTTTTTTTTTCTCTGATATTTCCCTTTCACACCAAGAGATAATCTTCAACCACGAAGTCAATATCATCATTTGTCACAAGAAAACGGTGAGGGAGACAGTCTTTAGTAACGGAAAGGTCGCTCCTTGTAAGTTTTCCTTCTGTCAACCTCAGATGTTCATCCCTGAATTCTTCTTCATAGAAGATTCTACATCATCTTCTGATCCCCCTCTGTTGATCATCAAGGATTTGCCAGCTCGGAATGTTTTGACATGTGCAGGATAATGAGTCTCTGGTTTTTATGCACAGGAAATGAGTATACATAAACAAGGGCCCAATGATCACCGGCCTTCATGTCATTAAACACAGGGTCAACACATTGTAATGTAAAAGGTGGGAGAATGTAGGTCGAGGGACAGGTGTGTTAATGTATATAGCCTATATGCATACCTTAACAAGGTGTATTTACTGGGGGAGGGGGGAGGGGGCTAGAATTGGTTTGATCTTTGTTAATATTATGAAACCAATTGTATCCAAGGAAATTAAAAAATGAGTTATATGCAAGTGTGAATCAAACTTTTCAATTAAAAAAAAATTATTGCATAGCTATTATATAGTTATAAAAAGTTCATTATAAGGTGAAGCAGTAAAAAAAAACAGCTGAGGGTTTGTTATTTGTTTTTTTATTTTTTTATAAAAAATTGTATTTTTCAACTATAACTTTGAATGTTTACTGTAATTTGCACAAAATTTGTCTTTAAGGAGTCAATTAAAAGTGCTTAATATTGTCCTTTTGAATGCAAAAACACATTTTTCAATAAAAATTCAATTAAAAGTATAATATTGTACTTTTGTTTGGAAAAACACATTTTGTAGAGAAAGACATAACCTGACAAAATGCATGTAGGCCCCATATTATCTACAAACTGGAAAATAAAACCACACAATGTTTATTGTTAACACACCCAATAATGAAATTATTGCCCTTAGGAAAGTCACACTATAAAAATAGCATAGATTCTCAGTTTTTAATGGAAAGTATACATATAATAAGAAGGCCACATATAAGTGTTACACATGATTTTACACTTTTATTTGGATTTCTTTGGGCAGGGTGGACAGGCATACAATATATAACAAACATAATAAACTAATTTTACATGTACCCTAGATCACTTGAAACTTTTTTTTTCAAAATGTAACATATTCCAATTTACTTTGGGACTTCTAATTTTCAGTTTTCATTTTTCCAGTCCTGATTTTATGACTATTGAACCAATAAAACAATCCTTTTTAAGTGGGGAGGGGTGGGATGGGGATTTTTTATAACACTTTATAAATAGAAGATTCCTTTCCCCTATGCCCCCTGAACTTGTCCTAGATATAGTCCACACTATAAATGAACTCTTACAACTATTTACATGGTCCTTCAAAGTCAACACTGGAATTTGTCTACAGCTGATATCTCTAAAATATTTAACTTTTTTTTTTTACTTCCATGGCCTTAAAATTCTTCATTTTTTGTCGCTCTACTCTTCTGAACAATCAAGCTAGCTTAATTAATTAAGACTCTAATCGCAATGCTTGAATCAAGATTTATATGATTGTTTCAAGCTATATTGGTTTGTCTGGGGGTTTTTTCCAAAAAAAGAAAAAGTACAGCCGGGACTTTATCACAGTCATTGAATGGAAGAGAGCTCTCCACTAATAGAGGTAAAAAAGAGTTTCCAAAAGTTGTACTTTAACTAGAGTCACGGAAAGTTTTTGATGCTTCAACAGTGGAATTCAGTATTGCAAAGAATCTTGTCAAAACAATGTCTGCTCTTGCATACCATTGCATGACACCATCAGTATAAGTCATATGAGTGGACTTCATGAGATTGCCACATGGGATTTATGTGGAATGATTCTCAAATCAAATGCCATGAAATAGGTGCCATATGACTAAACTTTAACAACTTAATAATAAAATAGGCATGCATGCAAACTTTGCTAAAACTTTAACTTCCAAACAAAAACCCCAAAGGTCTACAAACAATTTCACTGCAACATCATGCAGTATGTCCTATGTCTGGACTCCTTTAGATATTCATATGTGAATGAATTCTCACATAAGCCATGAATTAACATAATTTACAACTATAAAAAATAATCATTACTAAAAATTAGATTCACAGAAAAAAAACCCATAGGTCTTTAGAGTTTCAAATACAAGATTTGTGACCATGCATACATGTATATTCTGTTAAGGTGGCATCCCTTCATTTTTACAACTCCCTGAA